GAGTAGCCTTCATTTTTTGTCATTAACCTGTTGATCAAATCCTTTTTAAAAAACTATTTAGCTTATCAGTTGGGATTCTTATCATCATTTCAAGTGAATCTAACTGAAAACCCAAGACAGGATAGTTGACGGCGCCACACTGTTTTATCAACAGCTAAGGGGACACCTTACTGCTTACAAAGCACTACAAACAATCTCATATGTTCGTTACAGGTATTGATACCTGCTATACCATCAAACAAAGTCAACTAAGTAATGCACCAAAGATTCCTGTTCAGACTGTTGCTTTAATATCCACTCCAAGCATGACAAAAACTCCTCAAAAAGACTACAAGACACTGAACACCCCATAGGCAGGAAAAACATATCATTTATTTTATAAAACCTAAAAGTTCAAAATCTGACGGATGAACAGGTAACAACCAAAATGCAGATTTGAGGTCCATTTTACCCAGCAAGGCTCCCTTACCCAACCAATATAACAAAAGTTACCTAACAGCATCGTGTAATGAGGATTAATTGACTATGCAGGAAGTTTGGTCGGTAGGTCAGTAACTGAATTAACACTTGAATTGGCAGGATAATACGAAATTAAATGATGAATAAACATATATGAGCCATATTTTAGGTGCTAAGCTTATTGGTGAAATCCTTAAGATTGGGAAGACGAATGGAATTGGCCAGCAACCCTCCAAGTATAAATTTCTTTAAAAGCTTTCTCTAGAATTTAAGTTCCTTTTCTCTAGCTGACTTTAAATTAGAACATTTAGTAGCTACCTGGACCATTGTAATTGAGACTGAAATCTTCAGAAAACCCCTTTTGGAAAATATCTGAACTCTTCCTATCATAATAAAAAGAAAAATTATAGGCCGTAAAATTGGGGACCAAAAAAAAAAAACCCTCTGTGCCCTGTAGATTCTGGTACAGTGGGGAATCATGAACTGGGGGGTTGTGGTTTTAAAGAAGTAACATTGCTCCTGTATCTGTAATAATATGATTACCAACATCCCAGTCTAGTGCAAATTCATATTTTCTTTCATGACAGGATGTGCCAAAATAGGTATTTAAAAAAATTATATTGGAAGATAAAGGGTTTTTTTTTTTAATCAAAAAATAAATAAATAAATAAATAAAAATAATAACTATAAGGAATTACTGTTTTCAAAACGTTCTCTAGAACAACAAATCCTAATTAGGCATCTGGATATTCAACATCCCTATTTATTATATAGCAAATGAATAGTCTATGATAAAAAAAAAACTACTAAAAGTCGAGAGAATTTGAGCGTTCAATATACTGGCGTTTTATTGAACGCTGAGTTTGTATTTACGTATATATGGAGTAAGTCCGAACATTCCAAGTACGAGCGTTCAGTTTCGAGCGCCCCGTTGTAAACAAAAAATGTCGTCTGGTCAACCTTGCAAAGACAAATTTATAATAGGTAGGCCCTAGGTGAGATGTGTTTATTTTCACAAAAAAATGAAATTAATATGTTGACGGTGCGACCGTTGGGGCGATCGCATTGTTCACTTAATTTTAAAATCCGCCTCTTCAAACCGCACGAGACATTTGGAACGTCTAGACATGACGTCGTAAGTTAGCTGCATTTCCATAAACGAAGTTTGAAAAGTGCAAAAAAATTTAAAAAGAACGTTTAATCAACTGTCTGTATGTAGTATCCATTAAATTAATGTGAGTTTATTTTTTTGTGAGTTTAGTTGTTGTTACCGCGCGAAGTTAGCAGCGAGAACAAGAAGAGATGCATTGTGGGTCCAGAATTACTGCGGAAAAAAATTCCATTGAATGAATGTGCAGTTGTCCGAATTTTCTCTTCGCCCAGGCGTTGTCGTTAGAGCTCGCAGTGACGAGCGGCGCTTCGCGCCGCTCGCTGCGCTCGCTATTAATTAATAATTTAGTACGTATTAGCCTCAATAAAACCTCAATAAGCAAATCTTAACGCATTGGTAGGGTCATTGGAATGATGTGATATTGCACACTCACAGGACAGACGTTAATTTAAATACCAATACTGAAAAAATCAATTTGAGTTATTTAATTGAAATAATTAATATAAATCAATGGGAGATATTTTAGCTATATAAGCAAGCTCGTGCATTTGTACAGCTAACTTGTGCCAATATTCACCAACATAAGTTCAATAACCCTTTAATACTAAGTTCTTAAATTATTTCATGCCTGAACTTCCTTCAATGTAAACATTAAACTTTTTATTTTGACAATCGTCAGTACTGTCCATATCAAAGAGCTATTTGTAGTTCGTTATGTTAAATTCTGTTCACATGTTGATTTGTTCAATTGTTAAACTCTTTTTGTACTAACAAATCCATGTGGGGGCTTCAGTGAAAATAAAAGTTTCAAAGTTTCGTAAGTGTGGCTTCATATTTGGTTAAGTCATGACCCCTTTGAATTACAGTGTGGTCACAATATGAGGGACAAAATTGTCAGAAGTAGAGGGAAAACATCTGGAGAATGGCAGAGTAAAGGTTAATCAAGTGAGCGTTGTGGCCTTTTAAGCCTTTTATTTGGTTTCTTTTTTTTCATTAAGATTATAATTACAGCCAAGATATTTGAAATTTGTATTTGCAATTAAAAAATGATGTAATAAAGATTGATGAAATAAATCAAAAGTATGTTTTGTTTATGTACTTTTTAAATTTAAAAGTCCGTATAAACTTGCTGAATAAAATATTACGAGCAGGTCAACATAACAACATTGTAATCTACTGGGACCTGTTGTTTGTAATTATTTCTCGTTTTACCGAGAGCTAAAATGTCTAATTCATGTCATTTAAAATCAAATAAATGTTACATGTTCTTTATAGATAGATATGTCAAAAGGCACCTGGAGTACGAACAATAAACCTATAAATATTAGATATCATAAATTAATAAATTAAAAATTTGATTTTTTTTTTAGTTGAAATATTGGTAATTCATACAAGTTTATAATTAAAAGCACTATGCTTGACTAAAACAATGTTATGTAATCTACGTCAGAATGGTTTTTGCAAAGTTGAAACGTATGGGGACTCTAACAATGACAAATTATACATTGCATGACAAATTATACATGCAAACATTTGGGTTCTTCCTTCCTTTAAAAAAATATAATATATAGTGTCTGTTCTTGACCATTCGTAGGGCTTCCAATAGAGATCCTTTGCATAACGAAGTATCGTTAAATTCCACAGCCCTTGTGCTATAGATTTTTCTTGTCTTAACAGTCAATGAAGGCTAAAATTGAACCATTTATTGCATTACTGATGTAATGATGAAGACGTCTTCATGACTCTTTTCTTACCTGAAACAACTTACCTTTGAATTATATTGTAATCGAATGCAATTTTACATAAATGCATGCGATTTACATTTCTTTACGATATATCTTGGTTATATTGCGTATAAGCGGTGTAGATATGGTATTATTATTTTCTAAGATGAAGAATTCATGACAAGTATCTTAGCTACAATTAACTTTTCGCTTTATCTTGCTGCGAGTTATTCATTAACTGGGCGGTGATCATTGAATCGCTGTAACTGGTCACGCTTCCTCTGTATTTATCGTTTTTATTACAGTCTTTTTTTGGAAAGGTTCTGATATATATTTCAATGTACGTTTTATAGTTTTTCTAGGCTCTATCCAGTTCTTTTTTTAAATAAAGTATAACTGGTCATTGTGTTCGTTTTTGCAGTTACAGTTCTGTTTATAAAACGTTTTATGAGATCACGAACCTTCCCATTCTTTCAATTCTTTAAAAGCTAAAATACATGTACGTCAAAACAAAAATGCTCATATTTCAAAAATGATCCAAAAGGAAATCAACTTTTTTTTTACGAGAGAGAGTTCATTGTCTCGTTTTCAAAGTGGATTGGACTTTGACGTCAAGTGCTAAAACACGGGGTTTGTTTCCATTTTTTATTTCAATAAATTCAACAGTAACAACACATAAGACTAGAAAGAGTATTGCACAAATAAGTCATGAAATGAAAGATTTTTGTAAAGTTTGTCAAAACAAATGTTAATTTTTATGTAACAATCGGAAATGGCGCAGGTGTCTTTTTAACTGGAAAATTATTTTTCAGGGGAGCGGAGTGTTACTTGCAGATAACATTTTAATTAAACTTTTTTCATTTAGATCGAGATTGGTTACATTTCTTTTTTTTCATAATTTTTTAACTGTCGTCTCTTACTGATTATATAAGCAGGTTGAATGTACACCCAGGACACACAGTGTTTGAATTCAATTCAGGTAAAACATTCTCTTTACTATTTCAAATTTAAATTAAAGAAAATGGACCAAACTTGATGTTCTCTAGTCTGCTACCTTTTCTGCTAGAGGAAATCAAGATATATAGATTTGTTAACGTGCCGAAACATTTTATAATGGACAGAATTGTACGATATCGTTTGGTGTTGAGGTACCTTGCCAGTATACGTTGGTGAGCATTGTATAATGTATTTTCCCCTCAAACATGTGATATTAAATTTCATACATTGAGTATCAAAAATTAGCATGAGAACAGCATAATAACACGATATAGCAAAAGCAATAAAAAGATGTAAAACAACACGCAAAGAGCCGTCAAAAATAAAACAGAATACAGTGTTAAATTACACCTTTCTAAACACATCAGCAATTCCAATTAATTTCTCATACATTTTAAGTCAAGCTCTATATTTGCCAATGTGCATGTGTTAACGCCAGTTCTAATATTACTGTTTTATTCCAAAAAAAAAAAAAAAAAAAAAAACAGTCAGTGGAATAGCTTTCAGATAGTATTCTTTTTCATACTTCGTTGTGTAAGAAGTCTCGTGCTTCTCCACAAGCTTTTCACAGGCTTCTCCAAGCATTCTGTGCTCTTTAAATTTGAGCAATAAATAATTGTCTCCAAATATTACAGCATTGTATTTTAAGCACTGTTTTGCACCTTATATTAACAATAATGAAGACGTGGTCTTCTCTCAAGCGTAACTGCTCAAACAATTGCTGAGCGAACTTGTGACAAAGAGGAATAACCAGCTGAAGCAAGATAAAGAGAGTCTCTGTAATTCGCATGCGCAAGTGATGAATTGACTTCCTGTGAGTTGCTATGACCCTGTGTATCATGGTAAAGAATAGGAACTCTGACCAGTCGATGACCAGCGGCAATCTGGGACATATTAGCTGCCTCCAGTTCTGCTGCAAGCTGTCTTTTCCACTTGTTTCTTCGATTCTGAAACCAGATTTTAACCTGAGTCTCTGTTAGTTGTAAAGATGCCGCTAGGCCAGCTCGCTCTGAACTAGATAGGTATCGCTTCATATCAAAAGTGCTTTCTAACTGAAAAACTTGACTGCGGGAGAAAACCGTTCGCGTTTTCTTTTTCCTTCGATTTTTCCGGTCCTCATCTTGGCTGTCGCTCAAGCTGGACTCCATTGAGACAGTATTTGTACCTTCATCATCCGATTTTGAATCGGAGACCTCGGCTTCCGGTGATGATGATCTTGACCTTGGAGAGATACAGATGTCATTAGAATCCTTACTCGCGGATTCAGGACGATTGGTTGTGATTGGGTTTCTAAATATTGGCGATAAGTCTTTTGGCTGCAGATGGAGTTTGTTGACAATGCTGTTGGCCTCTGTAAAATTAGATACAAAATAGTGATTAACGTCTACATTATTTTAATTACAAAGATTTTTAGTTGGAATCATGGGGGGAAAAGTTGAATTGGAAAGACTAGGTCAGCTAATACGCCTCTAATGTTCTCTGATTGGTTACTTTCAGAGTATTTCGATTGAAGGTTGTACCCCCCCCCCCAAAAAAAAATCGGATGTTGTCGGAAGGTCCGATTATCGCGATGTGTACCCGAAAAATATTGAAATCTCTAATTCTTTATTTTAAATTTTCCATGTTCCATTAAATTATGCATGAACTTAACGCAAAATTTAAATGTCCCCAACGCAATTAAGATTCAATTAAGACACTGGAGAGAGGTCGCTAACACTCTCCTCCCGAAATATATTTATTTACAGTGTTTACAAATTTCGACAACAAAATACCCTCCCACCACCACCACCACACAGACAAAATGATAAATAGATAAATAAATGTAAAATAAATGTAGTGGTTCTGAAAATGACAAATTAAAACCCACAGTTTGTTAAGTCAATTATAAAAAGCAGCAATACGACCTCAGCAACTCAAAAAACAAACAAAACAAAAACAAAACAGAAGTTTATCATTTAAAGGTTCTGAAAATCAGTTAAGTAACTAAAGATACTCACAAATTAGTCCATGAGTGAAAAAAAATGCAAATATGTGTCTACCGTGCACTTTCAATATAGTTAATTCTATCATGAAGTGGGGGGAAAAACCAAAACAAACCAACCCAATTTTCATTTTTTTTAATGAAATGTGAATTGTCCATTTTTTTTTTTATTGAAAATTAGTTTGCAAATATATTCAGTTTAATTAAACCATATTTTATTTGAAAATTACAAGCATAAATTTCAGACATGAAATGAAGTTCAAACAGGATTAAGAAAGTTGTCATATTATAATTTTTGTATTTACTACCACCCGGTAAATTCAAAAATTACAATATGACATCCTTATGATCTGAGCTAACAGATACTTGTTGGGCAGTGCAGAATTGGGAAGTATATATCTTTATTAAAGAAAAAAAATTAGTATCAATGCATATTTAAAAAATGCATGCTTTTGATACTAGTACTTGTTGGTTTTGAAATTATTAGTTCTTTAATTCTTATGTAATACTAATAATTTCTGTAGATAGAAGGTGATATCATTGAGAGATTTCACAGATCTATTCAATTTAATTTTAAGCCAGCTATTTAAGACAAATTTAAAGGAAATTTGATTTCCTGAGAAATTGTCGATTGTGTGCCATTTATAGGGATCATATACATGTATTAACTTTTTATACTTCAAACTACCGTGGATCATTTCTAAAAGCATAAATACAAATAATTCCACAAAAAGATTCAATTTTAACTCCATTTTAATTTTAATTCAAATAAATGATGATTTGATAAATAAGTTTGTGACTGAGGGCTGGACATTCTCAAGTAAGAAAACAGAGATAGTTTTTAATAGTCAAAGAATTCATTATGTACAATATTGAAGTCATGGTAAATAGAAAAAAAAAATTGTCTTCGCTCCTTATTAATTACAGCTTTGTCTTAACGACTGAAGAAAATGTTAGTGAAGAAACAATTATTCGTAATTGATCCGAGTTTGTTCCTTCATCGATGTCACTCAATTTCCTATATATTTTTTTCTCTCTTAATTTGACATGCCCGTGAATAAATCAATGCATCGGTCGAGAATCTCTTGGCTGTAGCGATGCACTGGGAATCTGAACAATAGTGGGCATTATCATTTCAACAAAAATTAAGCTGGCGTGAAATGAGTTGTTAAAAGGTTGTCAATTTTATGCCATTTAGCCTTCCCTAAGTATGCTCCTTTCCATTGCTTTCCACAAACAAAATCGGTGATCCGTAATTAATAGACTCTTTACCGTCGTCGGTTTCGTTCTTTACAAATCGCCTTCTTGTCAAGTACTTCCATTAATTCAAGAACTCTGGATGGGCTTTTGTTCAAAAAGATTTATACAACTTACTTCTTTGTAAATGTTTTTTTTTCTAGATACACTTAATAATTCTCAAGTATTAATCAATATTTTGTAACATCTTTTAAGGCCTTTTTACGCTTTTATTTCTATCAAGTATATGTGTCTTTATGTACACGATATCATCTCTTCTCTTTTGTACAAACATTTATTTTAAAAACATTCTGGTAGATTTCCTTGTTAGCATTAATTAATGTATCAGTATATGCATTTGTTCATAATTAAGTGTATCTATATATCTGCAAAATGCATCGATTTGTAAACATTTACAAATATTGTATACTTTAAAAACTTCATGTTTAACTCTGACGATTTAAATGTGTAATTTACATGTAGGGAGAAGGCGTAATAAGTTTTCAGAACTTGTGCCCAATCCCTTTGTAATTATAGATTAAAATAAAATATGTTCTAACCAAAAAACCATACGATATCATGAGCATATTTGTTTATACATCTCTTTCATCAGATCTAACATTTGTGTATTCTATAGTTTATTTTTAAAAGTTTAACGTTGTTTTTGAAGACGACCAAATTTTTAGTTTTTATAAATATAAGTCAATTTTAGGCAATTTTAAATCTTTTTAGGGTTATTACATGTAGTAATGAAATGACAGTAATTTTTAACGATTTTGTTAAACTTGCTAAAATATACTAAAATAGGAATATAATGTGTCTTTGTTCAGATACCCATCACATTAATACATGCCCATGCATGTGTATGGAACTATACACAATATGCAGTTATGCTCATAAAATTCGTTAATTTCTTCTCGAGCGAAAAATTCGTTGATTTACATTTGTTGAGAGAATGTATGCTTTTTAGTGAAAAAATGATATTGCTTTATATTTTTATGGTAATTTTTTCATAGTATTTTTTCTGAAGCGGTTAACAGATATACTAGAATGAATTATCTATAGGCCTAAAAGATCAGTAGATTTTTATCGAGGAAATCCGGCATTGCTTCATTAATCATTTGAATTTTATTTGTTCACAGAGGAATTACTTAGTTTTTTTTTATGTTAGGAAAGTTCAGAATGTTTTAAAGCACATGTGTGTAACACCAAAACATTTTTAAAATATTTGTTTTAATATCAGACAAAGATAACATATCATGGATACGAGTTTTCTGACGATCAACTGAATTTAATTTGACTTCTAAAATAATTAATGGACATCTTTCTTTCTATACTACTCTTCTGGTATTACTTTTGAATTTAAATTATTTTATTTCATAGAAACCCAATTGTCACGTTTTCAAGACATGGTTGAAATTGTAAGTATTATATCATTTTCATATTATTGCTGAATATAAAGATTCAGATGCAGAATCTAGCTACATGCAAATGTTTCACTTACATATTATGGTCAATTTAAAAATGATCCAAAATAAGGCCAAAAAAAATCAATTTAAAATTGCAATTTTGCATTGTAAATATTTATCATTCTACTTTTTTCTTGGACACTGAAAATGAAATTTTGAATTTTTGAAATGAATTTTTATATAAACCTAGGTTTTCATAAAATTTAAAGTGATAAGGAGCTACATGTATTTATAGTATAATTTTGAAATTGTCATAGGCTATATGGCAATATTAATTAAATTACTAAGTCACGTGACTGTAAGTGGTCATTCTGATAAACCACAATTTAAAAAAAGTGTATGTGTATGCTTGAAATACCGTTCATATATTGATCATATCATTTTATAATTTTGTCGTGCTCACTGGACATTCACAGCACTAAATAATTATAAATAAATTCAATTAATCTTAATATCACAATACAACCCAATCTTTTTTTCTACATTGTTATATTAAAAAGCAACCTCGCAAAATCTTGGTAAATAAAGTTGGTCATATTTTTCAAAAATTTATACCTTAATAAAGCTGTTTTCTGGTGCAAACATAAGACATAAAACATGCATGCAATTTTTACTTTTAAAATACTTTAAATATCCCGTACTGTAGTAGTTAAAAATACATTTTTTACCGTCACTAAATTCGATAATAGCCCCTCACTTTTTCTAACCCAGTATTGTCATTATTGCGTCCCACTCAAGATTTAAGACCGAATTAAAAAAAAACAACAACTAATTTCGTTGTCAAATACCTAAAAAAAAAAAAGTAAGCCTTTTGATCATAAAAGTATTTAACTGGCACGCGTGTTAACGTAGCGGGAGTTCTCAATTATCTAGTCGAATTTTCACATGTGCGAACTATAGGTGATTTCAGTGTTATGTCATCAAAGTCCATCGGCGTCATTCGTGTCATTTAGCTTGGCTGAAATTGAGGATTCCCAATGGAATAGATAAAGTGTTAAAATAAAACACAGCTATGAAAGATTAGCAGATTATCTTGTATCGTTACTTAGCGTTTAACACTTTGTTTTATTGGCGCCATCAATATGGTGTCTTTTTTTAACTTCTACTTTTTCTTTATATTTATCACAATAAAAAAAAATATAAGTACATGTAGGAAGTAGAGATAAAATTTATATTTGTTTAAATATTACAAATGTTAATGATTGTTCTTGAGAAATTGAGCGAGAATTTGTGTTTGTAAAATTCATCTGATGACATACAATCACGGATTTCTTTAAGGCCAAAAAAAAAAAAAAAAAAAAAGAAGAAATTAACCGATGAAGTAAGGTTATGAAATTCATGTTAGTTTTCATCTATTTAACACAAGCGGATTTTTTTTTGAGGGGGTGTGTTTTATATTTCCGATTTTAAGTTTAACAACGTGCAAATGAGAAAACCTCCTCAAAGATTTTTATTTGAAAATTAAAATATATTATCGCGAACATGTAATTATTTTAATTTTCAAATAAAAATCAATTAACGACATTAAGTGCGAGTATAATCTACATAGTTTTCTCATTCATTTTCAAAAGACAATACTTGCTTTAAAGCACGCTCCTTGGTAAAACATAAGTAATTAATTTAAGAGACTTTCATAACATATATTCATAAATTTATAAAATGTTTAATTTAATCACAATGGTATGATTTCACCGAACGTTATTATTCAGTTGTAAGCTAAACTATTAAATTTTAAAATTCTTTCCAACACGTATGCACTTAAAAAACTTTGCAATTTTGAATTAAATTTAAAAAGGAATACTGGTTTAGTTTTTTTAAAAAATAAATTCACAGGTAATTAAAAAATATGTCTTTTTTCAAGGGAATCTTATCATAATTATAAAAAATATATATAATATAAAATAAGTAAACTTCAGATAAGACTTGTAAGTTTGCACTTACGAGAAACCTTTTCTTGATGGAGCTGCTGGAGAAAATGATGACCGGCAGTATACCATTGGTACCAGGCCGGAAGGGAGGAGAGGGGGGACCCTGGAAAACCATTTGTTCCCCCCTCCGGCCTCATGGAGAATAGTTTGCTGACCTCCAGGGAGGGAAAGCCGATCTTGGACACTACTGCCGGTTTGTCGTTGTCTTTGTTCTCCGCTTTTTCCTTCTCGTCTGCTTCTCTGGCTAGAATGCTGCTGATTGAGAAAGATTTCCCATTCTGTACGGAATTTGTGGAACTGGAACCTCTTTCTTCACTTGCCATTTTTAAAAAATGTTCTTTCTTCTGATAAGTTTCTGCGATTGCACCAAGATTCGTTAACTTTCTTTACTCTTTTTCCACATTTAAAATGTGTATAAATTGTCAATTGATGCTTAACACTGTTAAACTTTACTGAACGAAATTTGAATATTTGCCGACTTTCTAAAAAATGAGATCAATTTCTTGGCTAATTGCTGCTTTTACAATGCGTGAAAATACAATCCAACATAGGATTTCAGACAACAATCTGTTTTGAAAACGATGAAGTCCTTAATGTTGAATTACAATTGTTCGCTCAATACTATATGTAAAGTGATTCAACAATGGTGTCCCGCCCATCTCATTAAGAATATAGCAGCATCGCTTTTCTCTGACTGTCATTGGTTCAAAAATTGATCCGATAATTACGGCTCTGTAGAGTTGACGAAATATCCTATCGCTGCTAGTAGCTTTTTACTGTGAGTGTTTTATTGCGGATGGAAAATGCATTTTTCCTAATGAAGCAAGATGGAGGGAGCTAAATTAGGGGCCACTAAATAAAATACTACAAAGGAGTCCTATCGTTAGAAGATTTGTATCGTTTAAATTCTATTCATTCGGAACTCCTCCCACTTAATCACGTATTTGATAGATATCTGCGGAACGATAAATTCTAAAGATTATGGAGAAGAGACATAGAAATCTTCTACTCTCTCCAATCCAACAGTCGAGAAATATTTCCACCTGCCGAAAATTAGATACAAACACTCGTATCAACTTCTTTTGAAAGACAAAGACAGTTTTAAGACACCCTGCCGTATAACGATCAGTGATAGAATCGTCCAAACGATTATTTTCGCTCATGTGTTTTAGAAAATTACAACATGTATAAATTCGATATCTGTAAGAGAAATCTGCGCCAACCCCCCTGGAGCCCTTAGGGCGTGTTCTATCACTGTGTTTATCAGCACCGCGTGCGCTATTGTCCAAAAAGTTCGACGCCTTTGTCCGAGGGCTTTTAACGTCCGCGCGGCTCCGGGCTCCTGCGGTTGGGGGCAGACTCTGACAAATTCGCGATGAAAATATCAACTGATTCGTTAAATTGATTACAAATTAGTTTAAAGCACTCGATTTGTAGGCCCCTTATCAAGATCGTCTTCCTCTAAAGTGTAATTAGGTGCTTTTCAATCGACGGAAATAAATGACCACGCAGTGTATGAAATGTAATTGGCCGTAGTGAAGTGGACAGTTTGAGCAATAAAGAGGATCTTATCCTTGTTGATTGTTCTCGGGTTTTCAAACATTGTTATTATCAGCGTTTTTGTTAACACTTGGAATATGCCGCGGAAAATGGCATCTAAAAAAGTAAATTTCGTTTATGAATTGTATGTGGATTCGCCAAACAAGATAATTCACTTTATTTCCTGAATGAAAGGAAATATGTTTTTCAACACTGAATTTCTTCTACATATCTTTTTTTGTTAGTGCACACAATACTTTTTATTATTATCATTAAATTATGTTTTCAAACAAATCAATCTTATAGCGACAGATGTCGAATAGACCTATTTTTTTTTTTTTTAGGAATTCTTCTATAAATTCTTAATTTTTTAATGCAATAATCTAATTAAGCTAATTCAATATAATTGAGGTGATTGAGATTTAAAAGGATACTTAACAACAACTCCCAAATTTTTTCAGAGTCGATTTTTTTCTCCAACAGCCGAGAGGTAATTTATACAAAATATATATTTTTTAATTGATTGGATTTGGCAATAAGGCAAGTTCAAATATACCATCTCCACATCTCTACACAAAAATGAAATGGTCATACTTAGCTTAAAATACAAAGGGAAGAGACGAGCAGAACAAAAGAAATTAATCCATGTAGTGGGAAAAAATAATTGCAATACATTTTAACGTAGTATACAATATACGATATATATGTATATTGTCAAAATCTCAATAATGATTCCTTTTTAAGAGCATGACCGCATTCCAAAGAAAGTTCGGGTACATTGTTGTTATCTTAGTCTGTCATACAATGTTCTTCATCAAATTCCTCTTCTTTATATTAAAAAAAAATCATTTTTATTTTTTTTTCTACAAAAACTAGCTGGTTCCCAGAACTCCTCTTTCATTTAAAACAGTAGCATATTCATCTTTTGGAATATGTTGGCGGTGTCTTGTGGATGTGCAATAGATAGGAATTTTCATTTTCACGCAGGATAAAAAAAACATTTTTTTAGAGGACCATATTTCCAGAACTCCTGTAACATCTTAGGCCGTTAAACAAATCATCTTAGGAATGATTAACGTGTCCTATAGATCTCCAAGAAGGTTTTTGGAATTCTCATTTTCTTCCAGGAGGAAAATTGATGGTCGAAATATTGAAACGCTTTTTGTTTTCCACCCCCCCCCCCAAATCCAATTTAAACGAATTTATGCCTCATTAAATTCTTTAATTTCCGACTGGTATTGACATCTAATGCATATTTACAGGACACAACAAATCAAAATCTAGTTGATTCGGCTACTGCGTGAAATGTACGAGGAGATACGGGAACATGGTTTTTGTAGAAAGTCGTTTTTGGCCAATAATTAGCCCCCTTTGAAAATTCAAACCTTATTGCACATTTACAGGACACCACCAGTCATATTCCAAATGATTAATTTTTAGTGCGTAAAATGTAAAAAGAGTGCTTGGAACATGATTTCTGTAGAAAAACACTTTTTCGAGCTCCAATTCCACCCCTCCCCCGGGAAAAAAGAAAATTTCAATACTTTATTGCACATCAACAGGTTATCACCAATCACAGTTTAAAAGATGGTTTGGCAACTGCATTAGATATTATAGGAATTCTGAGAATCAAGCTTTTCATAGAAAAATAATTATTGACCTGCCAATTGGCCCCACGTTGAATGGTGAATTTTTCCCCCAAAAAGTTCATTACACATCTACAGGCCACCACCAATCATATTACAAAAGATGATTAGCCTACTGCATATAATATGAGTTCTAAGAAACAAAAATTTGTAGAAATACACTGTACGTATCATTTTTTTTCGATCGATTCCAATTGGCCCAAGGTAAAAGGAAACTCCCTAAACTTTTTTGCAATGGTACATGTCACCACCAATATACTATTTCAAAAGACAATTTGGCTATTGCTTTTAAAATGTAAGAGAAATTTGAGGAAGGAAATTGAGTAAGGACGGGAGGATGGAACGGGAAAACAACAATATACCCGAACTTTCTCTAGAAAACTGGTATAAATATACATATATTCAATGGACTGTTATTCTCTACATTGAATAGGAAATTTACTCACGAACACTCAAGTAATATATGGTACATGTTTGTTTATTTGTTTAATTTTTATTGGTCTTGTTAAGATTAAAGACCAGATCAAAAAGTACAAAATTCTTTACTGAATGATTGTAGAAGGACCAATTTAAAAAGTCAGCATTTATTAAATGATTTCAAACACAAAATTGAAAAAAAAGTTTTTGAAGTCCATCTGACAAATTATAAAATGTGTCACAAATAAGTAAATTTCACCTTCGTGATTTACAACATTAATACGTGTACTTTCTTGAATATCTAGTTGTCATATTTTAATTGTCATTGTCAAGGTTGAAAGGATTATAGAATAGTATTTTGCAAAGTTACAAACAAGAACTTCAGCGTCATTTATAAGCAGCTGCTCAAACAAAATACGTTTTATACACGTAAAAAAAATCCCAACACCTAGAGAAATAGGAAGTAATGTTGAACATAAGAATTACAGATGACGGAAAAGTTTAAGTAAATACTATAACTTTATGTTTGCCAAACACGGAGTACATGCGCTCGCTATGCTCTATTAGCACGAGCGGCTTGTAGAATGTTTTGCTTTTTGGTGCGATGATGTGCATCAAAGCACCCTCTGCGTTCAGCTGATGGATGTTGTTGCTATAATATCCACAAACGAAAACATTCCCAGTAGAATCCGTGGAAATCCCACGTGGTGATCTCAGAGTAACATGAGAATACTGGAAAATTTCGGTTCCATCCAAAGTTATGCAATAGAGAGATCCTTTCTCAACAGCGTCCGAGTAGTATATGCGATTTTTATCCCCAGAGCAGACGTAATAAATCTTATCTCCGGGAACTCTAAGGAAATTTCGGTAAACCAGGCGATGATCATCGACCAACTCGGCAACCTCCAGGCCTTGAACACAGGCAACGACGACAAAGCCTTCTAAGTATGCTATTCCGAAGCAATTTGTTCTTGTGTGGTATACATGCTTGTCTGGAAGTGGAATTTGGCCGTACTCAATTACTTGTATTTGACAGTCGTTATGGAGAGTGACTGCTATCATGTCACTTCCGTCTCTTTCAGGAAGGGGCGTGAGATCCCATGGATTCTTCTTGAATGATATTGTGAATGATTCATCTCGGTGACCCATTTCGGTGTATCCTCGAATTTCTCGACCAGTGTTGTCAACAAGAACCAGTTTGGATTTGTAAGAACAGCCGCCTGTAATTTTGCTGTGTGAATATTTGATGACCATGAAATCATGCGTACTCTCTCTTGGCTTACTTTTGTTGACCGACTTCTTGCTACGCAATTTATTCCAGTCCTCTGATACTACGTTGGGAATGATAGGAGTCGACCGGAAGTCTACAGACCCTAGAGAATCGAGATTTGAAGTCAGGTCGTTTTGCTTAAGTTCGTAATTTACACGTTTCACTTTCGACGCGCGATGTTGAACTTTTTCTTCTAATATGGCGCACTGTTGTCCAACCTTTCCAAGCTCGTTTATAACTTGTATTCCGGAGGTTGATCCCATTAAAGCGTGGAGAAGATCTTTATAATAAGCCACTGTCATTCGCTTCGTCTCAAAGGAGTCCATTTCTGCTTGCAATTCGGATATCTTCTGTTTATGTTTCTCTTTTAATTCTTCTCGAAGATTTTGTTCCAGCGTATCTAAATGACGGTCAATTTCTTCGCGAAAACCTCTAATTGCATCTTCTTCTTTGCTCTTCTCTGCTTCTAGATTTTTTATATTTTCTTTTCTACCTTGCACAATTTCATCCGTCTGAGCATTGATCGATTTCAGCATTTGAGAGAGTATATGAGTTTCCTTCGTATCTTTTAAAGATTTTGCGGCCTCTTCTGTAGTAACCACATCATCGCAGTTTTTATGCACCGTCTTCTTGCAAACTTCGCAGCAAGTCTCACGATGATCATGGCAGAAATAGACAAGTTTTTCGTTCAAATGATTTGGACAAAGCCCAGGTGCATAAAGCATCATTTTGTCCTTCTGTACCTCTTCAATCGTTGCTGTCTTATGAATTTCTGAAGAGGTCAGTCCTCGATGATAGTTGTCGTGTTCTTTGCACAATGTTTCAGCGCAGTAAGAACACCATGTAACGGCAGTAGTTTTTTTCTGTGTTCTCAAACATGGTTTACAGAGCTTCTGTTTTAGCATTCTTTCAGCCATGAGAGAGGAAATGAAATGATTGGTCGGGAGAGATTTTGCAAACTCAAGAGGGTCTGTAATGGCACGTGCACTTGAGACAGGCGTAGCGCAAACCGGACATCGAATCTGAACGGCTTTCCCTTGTGACAAGGAAGTAGCAACATGGCGACCTATGCATGCTTCGCAAAAAGTATGTAAGCATGGCAGACACTTTGGTGAAGTAAGTTCCTTAGCACATATGGGACATTTTGAAACTTCGACTTCATCTGTTCGTAATGAAATCATTGAAGCTCCGATAGCTTCCATATTAATATCTGGGGAAATAGGACGTACTTCGCTTACTTTTGACTTTACAGAAGGTGTCGGTTTCGGAGACTCCATTTTGGTCGGTGTTACCACTGGAATACTGAGGTTGTCCGCTGATATCCTCGAATGACTGACATTGTCCGCTGTATTCCTGGAATGATGACTGATATTGTCAACTGTGTTCCTGGAATGATGACTGACATTGTCAACTGTGTTCCTGGAATGATGGCTGACATTGTCTGCAGACATCTTTGAAAAACTGGCGTTTTCCACAGTCATTTTTGATCCGGGTTTACTAAGGCCGCTTTGTGCGCCATCGTTTGGGACGTTGTTCAATGTCACTTGTGATCTGTTAAGAGTTCCTTGGCTTTTATTTATGGTGGCATGAGATCCTTGACTTTTGTTCAGTGTAGCATTAGATCCCTGACCATTATTTAGTGTGGCAATAGACCCCTGACCATAATTTAGGGTCGCGTTAGATCCTTCTTTTCTTTGTACATCCATTGGAGGTAGATGTGCAGACATTTTAGACCAGCTTTAAGTATTTCATTCTCGCAAATAAATGCCTGCCACTCGAATGATCGTTTGATCTACAAGCTTGCATAGCAACTTAAAACATGACTACGGTAGCCCTTCCCAGACTTTATTCTTAAATTAAAAGGTGTCATAGACCATTCATACTCAATAACAATATGCAGTCTTTAATCAAATAAATCTTGAATTTTGTTTATCACATTTTCTTAAATTAATGTCTGTATCAAATGACTATTACTTAACCAGAACTGAAAAAATATACTTGTACAAAAAATATAGTCAAGTGTAAAGTTTCATACATATCGTTATATCGTTCTGAGACTACAAATTTTCCTGTGCTTTCACGATTTCTGTATATTTTGACTGCTTGATATCAAACAGATTTCGAAAATACTGAAGAATATTTGCTCTGTTCATGACGTAACAGTTAAGTGTTTTTTCAATATAACATTTACCAAAGACATTTTTTTTTATTTTTGAAAAGTGTATGAGTTTGTAAAAATAAACTTTACAGGCAGGTAAATGTCACATATTTTGTTGCAAATCCCTCTCAAAGACATTTCTTGTACATAAATATACATTTCAAATGTTTATTTTGTTAATCAAGTACGCATTAATTGAAAAAAAAGAAACTGTGAAAGTTTCCTCAAATTACCGTTATGTATTTTGAAATGTTTTGCTTCTATCAACATAAGTTTTTTTAAAAATATAATTATGTATATCTGAATAGCAAAGGATTGTTCAGGAGTTTTTAATGCTATATTTGTCTGGCACTTAACGGAAAATAATATTCCTACTCATTGGTGGGAAATGAACTTTTATTGAAATTATTACAAAGAAGTCTTCAAGAAGAAAATAATTTTCGCTTATGTAAGTACACTTATATCATTATATTTTAATTGAAACAATAATTGAAAATACACGATCGATATTTACATTAAATCTATCAAAACAACAGGGGAAAGCCCTTGTGTAATATACATGTATTTCTTCACGTTTGACAAATAGCTATATCCCCCTCACAGAAGACGAATAAGTGTTTAACACATAGTATCATGTGTTTCCCTGGAAAAAAGAAGTACGAGAAAAGTAAAGTAAAAGCATTTGTTTTCTCCAGAAAAATAGTTACTAGAAGTATACGATTTTTGTATATAAAATTTATTTATCTATTTATTAGCATTTGAGCGAAACCCTTTTTTGTTTAGAAATGTATAGAAATCGGCTTACCTACAGGGAAAAAAAAGAATTGATGAGCCATTTGCATATAAACGTTGCCAAAATTAAGATAGGTATGTTGTACCGTACACTTAAAATGTCTTAGACAAAAAGGAGGTTAGTTTTGATTGACAGATAAGACCATTCAATGGATGCTTCACGGATTGTTTATGACACAATCACACGTAGGATTTAAATGTTCCAAATATTGTTCATGTTTAATGGTAATCAAGTTATCTTAATTAAAGTTTAATTGAATTTATGAAACAGTTGAACATTTAATCTGATCAGTCGTCTTCACGACATATGTTATCTTTTCCAAAGTCGGTGATAAAGTACAAAGTGTGAACTTTAATAAATGGACTGTTTTGTTTTTAATGCATCGATGTATATGATGTACATTAAGATACTAAAAGATGACGTACTTACTTAATAATGTATATATAAAGTAACAAAACAACAGTTTGTTATCGACTTCTTCATATTTTGAACCGCCGTTTGATACATGCATGTTTACATGTATCCACTACTCTAGATATGCAGTATTTAACTATGTAACTTGGAAATTAGGGAATTTCAATTATGTTCTCTATGATTGCAAGGTTTTAAAGTAATATTTTTTAACAAATATAAGTATGACAGAACAAAGTGAAAGAATCAGAATTGAGCTATGGTGTGGTGTTTCAATTCGAAATAATTAATACATGGGTTTAATAGAAAATTAAAAAAAATGTAGAATTAAATAAGAAAAACAATTATCTCTGATTCTTAACACAATTTAGATATTAACTTGTAAGTAAAGAGATGTGCAACCAATATATACTTTCTTATTTTGAGTAAGTCAAATAGAATATTAAATTCACGCAAATTCCAAGTTTAATGACTATTCTTTCATTGGCAGCATCTCTGTTGAATATACTTTACAAAATCTTTATAAACATTTTGATATACATGAATTAAAGAAATTTTTCGGAAATGCAACATTTTTATGATACCTTGCTAAGGTATCGTTTTTGTCATTGTAACGCGCATTGTCTGAAATTATTGAAATGTTTTTGGTAAGATTTAATCAAGCAGCACTGCAGCAAGAAATGGAAAAGGAAAAATTTAACAAACATGTGACAATCATACCATTGATCAAGAAAGCTTAATCTTGCCTTTTACAGCTGCCTATCGCATAACTCACTTGACGCCCTAGCTCAAGCTAGATATAGAGTTGGAAAAAATAGATTTTAATTTTATACAGATGATATTTTTCATTAATTAAATGTACGTAAAATACAGAAGCAACAACAATACACAAATAACAAATTTGCTACACTCAAAAGTTCCCAAACGTGGCTTGTGACGTGAAAAAATAGATCCTAAACTTTCCTTAAAAGTGATTGGACGAGATTTAATGGAAGGGATGTTACATACAATTATATCCTGTTATAATGTTTTTTTTTTATTTTTAACTGAGATTTTAATTTGTAATTTAATGTTATTAAACCCTTTATTTTGTGACGTGTATACACTTTTTATTTATTTCTGCAACTGATACTGCCAAGAAGATCATTTAATTTTCAGAATAATGACGAATATGAAGTTAATTTAGAGTTAAGTTATAAGATCAGGATGAGCAATGGTAATTTTGGGGCACACATGTGGTGTTTTGTCATCGATATAATTTCACGGAATGTCTGGTGGTTTTGCACCATTAACCCTAGGCAAAACTCGCAAAGAATAAGCATAGGTATAAAACAACGGTGTTGTTTTCCATCTTATACCGTTTGCAACCAAAGCCATAAGCACTTTCCATCTGAATTGATACATGTAATAAAGGACTACTATAGTATATGTGTCAAAGGACATTAATACCTGCACACACTGGTAAGTGTTTGTCTTTAAAATTATTCTCCTTTGAACCTGTTTAACTGATAGAAGAGCAACAATAGTTGCATAAATATAAATGTATCAGATAGGCATAAAATGCTCAACTGAGCATGTGGCCAATTGGCCCCTTGAATTTCATACTACAATTCATTATAAGTGTAAAACTAAATAATTTAATGGATCGTTAAAAAAGGATCCTTGAAAAGAATTTTTTAAAAAAAGGTATAAGACTGGCCTCCTGGATAGGACAAAAAATCCAGTACTTTATTCAAATTCCACAAGATTCCAACGATAATGTTCTAAAAACTGCTTGACTACTGCATAAAATGTAAAGAAGAAAGTGTCCTTTAAAAAGAAAAAATGTCTTTTTTAGTCCTAAATTGGCCTCCCCTATGAAAATGAAAACTACCTAATCTTATTTGCACATCTGATTAATTGATTGATTGTATGTTGTTTTACGTCCCATTCAAGAATTTTTCACTCGTATATAGACGTCACCATATACCGGTGAAGGGATTCAAATTTAGACCTATACTCGGCACTCAGGGCTATTGAGCAGTGAGGGGTGTTAATCGTGTCAACGCCTGCTGTGACACGGGGACTCGGTTTTTAAGGTATCATCGGAAGGACCCGCAACTTTCACTTCAAAGTGCCGAGTGCATGGCGAAGGAACAGTTGCTACCTATTTTTATCGACTCAGGTTAGTCGCAGGCGAGATTCGAACTCATCCGATCACGGAGCGAGCGCTCTACCGACTGAGCTACCGTGACGGCTATTGCTCATCTGAAGGACATCACCAAACACATTTCTATAGATATATTGGCTACTGTGTAAATATGAGGAGTACTAAGGACCACGTTTTTGCAGGGAAAAAAACGGCGTTTTTCATCCCCCAATCGGTCCCGAGGGTGAAAATAAAAGTCAAATGCAAGAGGAGTTCTAGGGACCTAATGTTTATGACAAAAGTCTTTTCGATCCCCAATTGCACCCCCCCCCCCAAGTGTGAAAATAAATTCCCTAATCTTCTTGCAAATCTACAGGGCATCACCTATCATATTCCAAAAGCTAAATTGCCTACTTATAAAAAGGCCGGAGGAGAAAGATTTTGGAGAAAAACATTATTTTCAATCATAAATTGGTCCTCTAGAAATAGAATGAGAATTTTAAAACCATCTCCACAAGACACCACAAATTATATTCCAAAAGACGAATTGACTGCTGCTTAAAAGTAAGCGGCTTTTGAGGAAGATTTTTGCAGAAAAAGATTGTTTTTCGACACCCCCCCCCCCCCCCCCATTGGCCAAAGAGTGGAAATGAAAATTTTATAATCTTATTCACATCTGCAGGACACCTTAGTGCACATCTACAGGACAGTACCAATAGTATTCAAAAAGATTAATTTGTTTTTGCATAAATTTAAGACAGAGTTTTTAGAAGAAGATAATTTGACAGGTTGAATAGACAAGGAAAACAACATATTGAGACATGTATACCCGCACTTTCTGTCACGTATGTTACATGTAGGTATGTATTTAATATTTATGTACCTTTACTGCACAACTGTCCATTACAAATATCTAACAGTAGAAGGTAGCGATTTCCTTTTTTGATGTTTTTTTATACAAATTAAAATTGACCCAAATTATTTTCCAACCATATTACTCTGAAAAAGAGACCTAAAGAAATTGTTTTAATCTACTGGCCCTTTTGGTCAAGAAAAAAATCTATGTTCTCTCGTATAATTTGCTTTTCCTAAATGATGTTTTTGTTTAGCTGGTTAGCAATAATGTTAAAAAAATAAAAGAAACAAAGATTTAATTATTATTTTTTAGTAACTAACGAAAAGTTTTTAATGTTTACAGTATTCAGAGGTTTTACAAATTGTTCCAGGCCAGTTAAAAAATTTAATAAGAATTGTCACCCAAAAGCACAGATGAT